AGTCATAATGGCCAAAGAGACAGAAATTACCACATGGAAATCTGGTGTATTTCATCTGTGGCTTGTTGAATGCTATTAAAGAATATTGACCATTGTAAACAAATTAAACTGCATTCTATTCTAACACAAACTTGTGATGGATTAAGCTGGGCTCAGCCAACTTGGCACTTTAGTGATCAATCTGTTTCTTTCTATCAATCATGTCTTGGAACAAATTGTTGCAATCTAATCTACAAATTTTGCCTCACTTCATTCAAGTTTGTAAGCTGATACATAATGCCAAATGGATTAAAATCAATTTTCAAGGTCTCATTTCTGATGGGCTGTGCAATTCTGACGTCTTGAGATCAGTCAAAAAACACGTATACATGGATTCCAGATAACTTGTGTTTTTCAACTGTTTCCAACCAAAATTGTGTGTTGATCAAATTCTTATTAATTCTCTTTGCGCTTAGGTGCACCACATAGCTACCCTGACCCATTCTTCCGTACAAAGAAAATGGAAAATACAAAATAGCCAATGCAGTTGACTCTAGACCCGCCTGCAGCATCTGATGATCCGAACCTTGCCTCAAAATTGGTACTTTCTATTCAGATCTTAGGGCTGACCGAATCAGGGATGTACCTTCCAAAAACCAGTGGTTTATTTCAAGGATCTTTATTGCGTTCTATGTTTCAACTGACACATGGATGGTCGACGTGAAAATCGAATTCCTTACCTCGCAAGTGAAAGCAGGGCTCACTGGCTCACTTGATTCTCCATACCTTGAGACACAGTCAGAACCAAGGATTGGTGCCAACCAGTCGATTCTTAGGTACATTTCAATCTGGACTGTAGATGATAGAAATAGGCAGTTTTGTTGAGGGGTCAAAAACTGAAGTGTTCTTTGCATCGTACGAAGGGCTTCGGTCGCTTGACTGATGTCTGCTACATAGACTATCACACCACATTTATACGACATCAGCTAATTACAATATAAACAGTCCGGCATCATCTTTCTTGGAGGGGATAATTGGTGGGGCATCGTGGGACGTTGCAGGACAGGGTCTTCAATCGTTGGTTAAGAACCAGGCCAGGAAGACACATTTTGCCTGGCAAGCTGGGTCTTGATAGTCCAAGCATCGGTACCTGCCGATATGTATGATATTGCGAGCTAGGGCAAGTTAGGCCCGACCAATTCCGCCAGACAATAACAAATTTCAGAGAGTATTACGAAAGGAAAGTGAAAAAAAAAGTAGTTCGGCCCACCGGAGGGTTATACACTGAGTAGGCTTGAGTAGAATGCGACAAACTCCCCTGTTTGTTAAGCTAACCATAGCTCTCCTTAGTCAATACCGGCTGGGGGTTGGTCATGTAAGCAATGCTCTCGGAGACTTTGAGTTTTTTTTTTGCGCTTGGTTGGGCTTATAAGACACCGCCCTCTGCTCCCAATTGTCCCCCCATCAGCTCGCACTTTCTCCCACCTAACAATTTCCTATCACTCTTCCCTTCGGATCAGATTTTCATAACGCACCTCTTCTGCCTGCTGCCTGGCTCCAGATTCTTATCATCTCCCCATTCCAGGTGACTAGTACATACACCCGTCGTTGATGCCAACAAGACCAAGGCCCTCCCCCATCCAATCTTCTGCTCCAGGAGGATGCGCTCTTCTTTCGTTCATTCTCTTCAGAAAGCTGCCACCTCTATGCCATTAGGGACCACACTTCAATCAACTACCCATCATACATCTGGGGGACTCCCGTTACAGGAGGAACGTTCTTCCTCAATTCTGCATGGGCCATTCTTTAACCATCCCCTCCACTTGATATATGCCACCCGAGATATGGCGAAGGTGTGTATACGGCAATTGATTGTCCGTTATCACTTCCGTGCAACTGATTGGAGTGGCTTGCATCTCAAGCATTGTGATTGATCCAATCATCAATCCTTCACCCCGTTTCGTTTTCGAGTCTCCATGACCTTCACTATCCGTCACGCTTGTCATTGATTCAACGGCATGCGGCTCTATTCCTCCCAATCCATCACCCTAACATTGGGCGATCTCGCTCTTCATTCATCTTTCAGGCCAGATGTTGAACATTCATAGGTCGGACTTCAAGATCCAATATCGAGTTGATTTTTCTACTTCAATATATCTTTTCCGGCGGCAGCAGTTCTATCATGACAAGCTTCGAAACATGATTTTCTTGTTCATGGGCTCTTGGTTGATCCTGGAGTTGATTATTTTTGGGCTTATCCAACAAAGCATGCAGCAACGCTTCCTGTCACTTCATCGGCATTCCACGTCAGGCTCAGACTAGCAGTTCATATCTGCAGAAATCTTGACCTTTTGACGTAGAGAATGTTTTCTTGGTGATGGTCAGGTGGCTACAGCGTCGGCGGCCAGCAACTCAACACGTTGTACATTATATGTGAGCTAGAAGCACCTTATTTCTGCTCTCACTCACGAATCATTGACTCCAAAATCCTTTCAGCATCCCAGTCACGCAGCGAAGCAGCATTATTTTAGCAAATCAGAATTATTTTACCGGGGTCTAACAACCTCAAGCAACTCGGGCCATCTGCGCCTGCGTTTTTAATGCCCAAGAAGAACTGACCAGCTGACCTCAAGATTAATCTACCGGTTTTTGACAACCTCAAGCAACTTGGACCATCTTCCCACACCAGGTGGAGTATATTACCAACGTAATCTCTTCTCACTCGTCATTCTCTTTTGAACCGAACGAGTCCTTTTTATCTGACTTCGTCTTCTCTCTTTTTTTTCTGGTTAATATACAATCACTGAAAACCTAGAGCCAAGTACATATCCCGATGATAGGGATTTTCTTCGGCACTCTTGAGTGCATCAGCAAAAGAGGCGGCGGTACCCAAGTCTTGAAAGACCTTGAACCGGCGATCCTTTTTTTATTACCCCACTCAATTTTGATTGATGTGGCAAGCAGGACCACTCAAGTCAATCATCTGGATGAATTTTATCCTTCGATGCCATCCATTGATGCATACGACCCGAATACGACGATCTGATTTGGATTTCTGAGCTCTATCCTGATGGATAAGGAAACCCCACCCGATCCATAGCGAGTAAGTTCTGATTGGATTCGACCATACGATCCCGAATCCGATGCACAGTCGATGCACATATGGAGACCGTGTCAATCCATAGCCAGCAAGACCTCTTTGGATTCGACTCTCCGAAGGATAATATCCTTTGATGCCGAGCCAATCCATAGCCAACAGGAGCTGTTTGGACTCGAGGATCCGACATGGTTTTTTTTTTTTGCTTTATCCTCATGGATAAGCAAGACCGAGCCGATCCATAGCAGACAAATGCTGATTGGATTTGACCAGAAGATTCCGAATTCGATGCAAAATTGATGCACATGGAGCCCGTGCCGATCCATAGCCAGCAAGAGCTCTTTGCACTCGACTGTTCAAAGTATATGCCTAGCCAATCCATGGCCAACAAGATCTGTCTGGACTCGACCGATTCCAAGCAAACAAATGCTGGTTGGATTCGACCAGAAGATCCCGAATTCGACACACGGAGCCAGAGCCGATGCATGACCAGCAACAGCTGGTAGGAATTTTGCATCCTCCGATGCCGAGCCGATCCATTGCTAGCATGAGCTGTTTGGATTAGACGACTCGAAGAAAATCACCGCTCGAACCGATGCAACCAATCGATGCATCGATCAAATTTTTTTGATTACCCCACTCAATTTCGATTGATGTGGCAAGCAGGACCACGCAAACCGATCCATAGCTAACAAGAGCTATTTGGTCTACGACTACCCGAAGGATTCTATCCTTTGATGCCAACAGTTGATGAAAAACACCCAGAGCCGATCCATAGCAAGCAAGAGCCATTTGGACTCCACACTTCGATCAATGCAATCAGTTGATGCATATGGAGTGCGATCTGATCGATAGCCACCAAGAGCTGATTGGATACGAGAAACCAAAGGTTTCCATCCTTCGACTGATGCCATCATTTGATGCAAACCGAGCCGGTCCACAGCTACTAAGAGCTGATTGGACTCGACTATCCGACTCCGTTGAGATTTTTCTTTTCTTTCTTTTTTTTTGATTTGAATAACAACATCATCCTTTTGGAATGATCGCACTAATTAAGATTGGGAATAATGACAACTATGACAGTCTATTCACCAAATCTTGAATGACAGAGTGTTTGATCACCGTACACGGTTGAAGAGCGAAGATATTTCCTTCTATAACAAGGAAAACATTTTTTTTCCCCATGATTGTCAGCCTCTGGGTAACTAACCTGAGTATTTAATAGTAAGAAGGTTGTTACTATGAGTTGACTGAAGTTTTGAGCGTGGT